TATGATTCATGTAGAAGTATGAAGAATTATTTATGTCACTTTGAGAGAATCAGTGTTCTCATACCAGATTAAATTTTTTCCTGTACATATTAAGATCATTTTGTAGTTCCTGAATTGGCTATCTCTGGGACTGGCATTGGAGGAACGACAACCGAAGGATTTGTTGATCCTAGCATTGGGAGAAACAACACCGAAGAATTTCCTACTCAGGATGTGAGAATTGTTGCTGCTGAAGAATCTATTGCATGCACTGAACAGATTATTTTGAAAGAGGCAGCTTATGACAGCAATTGGCCAGACACAGAACATATTTTAGCCCATAATTCTGCTTCAGATATGGAAATTGCCTGTGCTTCAGATGAGGAGGATGCAATTGGTGAAGTAGAACATCCCCTCATTCTAAGTGGTGACAATGAAATCCCTTTCACATATTTGGCTTCTTTATTTGCTAAATGGGCCACACAGCAGGACAACAAACCATGTGTCCAAGGGAGAATCAAGGTTCTTTCTTTTGCTCTTTGGGACTAGTTCTAGTTTTGTGTGACCCTGTATTTTTGTTGAAATCTCTCTGTATAGGAAATGCTTGAACAGCTCATGCATGCTTTAGATTTGTACTAAGCATCATGATCCAACTGATGACTCTTAACTTATGAAGAGAACAGTGAAATTTCTTTTGTTTTAGAATCACAAACGGATTTGATGAAATTTTATGCTACTATGAATGGCATGATGATATGCTAATCTTCATGAGCAAATCTAATCCTGGATTTATAAATATAAGAAACCACACTGCTATCTTCATTCCACTTGTGTTAGTGCAATAGCAGGATGAAAAACTATATATCTAGCTGCAATTTTATTTGGGTTTGTCTTTAGTGGATCATCACTTATTGATTAAACATAATATTGACACGCAGTGCTTTTTGACTGGTGTAAAAGGATTTCAGTTCAAACAGCGGAGTACCTATGAACTTCATGTTTATGTTGATGATGGAAGTCTCATATCTGAGGTCATCATTGATCACAGAGTAATTTTCTTTTCTTGTCTGATTCTTTTATTTTGTTTTTGTACTTTCTGTTTTTTTTTTTGAGTAGAAACATCCTTTGTGCTTTCCAGGTTGTACAGAAGGGTATCGGCCATTCTCCAGAAGAGGTTACTAGTGCACTTTCTTCCACTGAAAAGAAAACTGTATCAGATATGAAGGACACTTTGAAAACCTTCCAGCTTTTCTTGACTAAATTTGAGGTAGTTTGGTTTTGTTGCTTGAATTTTCTCCAGGCCCATTTTTGTTTTACACTTGAGGTTATACAAAGTTTGTGAGCACTGCCATCAGTATCTATGTGATGCTTCTTGCTTTGGCAACTTTTTGACTAGTATTCTTTTCAGCTGATGCTGTGGTCTCATGACGTCTATTTATCACCATGAACAATTAAGTAGGAGCCTTCCAGTATGGAATAGTCATCCGTGATGTATGTTTGCATAATCTGGTGTTGAGTGTCATTGTTTGATACATTGATAACAGGCAAAAGCCTGTCATGCTTTGGGTGATTAATGTTTAATGATTTGTTTTGTCACAAATCATATCATGTTTGGCAAATTTATACCTTCTAAATGTGAATCTCGAGTTGTTTTCTTTGTTAGTAGCAATCATAATCAGATCTTATAGAGAAGTTTTTTTTTGGTGTTTGATTAGACTGAGTGTGCGACTTTATGATTAAATAGTCTGTTCTGCTACTAGTATCTAATTGAATATGTTTTGCATAGATTATAGTAACTTGCTAGTCTCTAGCAATCTGAAATATATGATTTTATACAACAGATATTTCATTAAGATGGTTTTGGCAAACCTTATGTGGTCATAGGTCACAATTAAAAGCACCATGTCTTAAGGCTGGCCAATTATCATTGACCTTCTACGGGGGAGGTTCCATGTCTCAAGTTAGGATATGCAAATCCTTGCTGCCTTATAATGGAATCGTTAGCTTTTTCACAGCTGAGAATTTTGCTTAAAATTTGGGGTGTTACATGAGCTGTTAATGAAGCTTGTTTGCTGGTAGTAAGATTTGTATTATATTGGATGTTCTTTTTAGGTATGGAAAGCATTTGTTTCATTTTTTGTCATATTTTTTTATTGTTTTTTTTTTCACTTTATTGATTATACATCAGATCGTGTTATTTAGCAGAAAACTAAAAACTGAAATCAATATGGTATTTCTAGCAAAATTCTCTATTGGTTTATTTGTTAGTTCCATGCAACAAGCATTACCAGTACCATGATTATTACACTGAGTTCTCTTTAGAAATATTAGTGCAGAACCGAATTATCCATTGGACACATATATAAGTATTAACACTACTACCACTCTTCATTTTAAATATTTTCAGATATTCTTATTAGAAAATGTTATGTTTGAACTATAGGGCACGATGCTTCTGGAGATGAATAGAAACTCTTCACTTCCTGTTGCCCTCGCAATGAAGCAAGGGGTTTCTACATCAGCTCCGTGGCTGCTTCTTAGAAGACTGGCAAAGACTGCTGCACAAAGCTCTCAACACAACAATTTGAATCCCATTAATTTATCTCCTTGATGGATATGTTTAATTGATGGATGCGAGTGCTGTATGACATCGGGAAAGTTGTTGCTGGAGGTTAATTCTTTAAGGTATTTCTCTAGTCCAGGTTTTGAACTATAATTGTAATGGATCCAGATCCTCTGATGAAATAACAAGGTTTCTTTGTCAGGGTCTCAAGCATTAAAGATATCATGTTATCGTTGCATCGAGAGTTAAGTCCATTTCCCAGCTTTTGTTGTCTCCAGTGCTTTGTTTAAAGGTAAACATTTGTCTGGTTTGTTTTACTGTTATAAATAAGTAATACTTAGCAGCATGTATCTGCTTTATTTTGTTAACAGTTGCTAGAACATAAGTTGCTAGGGCATTCACTGGCCAAATGATCTCCTAGATAATACAGATGCTGCTTCTATCCCAATTCCCAAGAGTATTTTCATGCCAATTTGAGTCTTTCTAAGATCTTCACTTCACAGTTTTAACTGGTATATATTCATAATTTTAATAATCTTTCTACACAATGGGTTTGATCTTTTTAAACCTAGCTAGAGAAGTCATTGAATATTAATTTTTATTTTGCCGATGTGATTGTTACTTCGGTAGAATTTATACAAACTGTACAAAGGCACTGCTCAAAGTTCTTCCATATGACTAGTTATCCAATGTATAATATAGCAATATTGTTCAGTCAGCCTTTTTTTTTTTTTCCAAAATAAGAACTTAGATCAAGTGTTAATGCTGCTTTGTGATTGGGCTTCTGTCTATAGCAACAATGGGTTTAGTGGTGTGGCAATTATTTTTTCCTTTTCCAGTGTCATGCATGTTAGAAAGCTTTGAAGAAGAAACAAATTAAAGTCAACAAGCTGTTTAGATGGTAGAGTAAATGAGCTTCTGTTGTAAATGCATCTTTCCTTGGTGATTCTTTTAGGGTCTTTTGGCTCAGATTTAAGCTAGTGTCCTGATTGAGAAAACACATTCCTATTTGTTGACCACTAACACACGGAGAATCATGTGACAATTCAAAGATATAGATGTGTTTTTCTAGTTAATTTGCTTGCCTTTGACTGAAAAAAGAACATTTAGATCTTCCTGTAGAAAACATCCTGTACTTGTTTTAGTTTACCATGACGACATACAACGCTAACTACGTGTGGCTATTTCTAGGGCTGCAATGTAATCCCTTTGAACAGACAGCTGCATGGAAGTTCTGTGCCAGCCACAAGGTGACTCGGCAAAATCATTTTACAGCTTATTGGCTTTAAGTTATGGAGCGCTTATGGAGAAAATATCCATCAAATCCTGTTTGCATTAGCCACAGCAGTTTCCTGGCTGATCAGCTTCAACTCGTTTGCTTTGGGTATGTTTGCAATGTATGCATCATTGCCATCCAGGAAACAGCCACGAGGACATGCTTTCTCCTTCACAGATGCTCTCCATGATATGGGTCAGCTACTTGCTGGTGAAAAAGGAGGCTTGCTAAAGCAATTAAAATTGCATATGTTTGCCAGTAATGATTTTAATTGCAGATATTGATCTCATCTAATCTTTGCCTTCAGTCTTGGTTGTAAGAAAAGAAAGGAAGAAAACTTGGACCAATGGGCAATTTGGTTAGTCTGACAAGGGAGTCACATTTGGAAGGATGCTCTTTGGTTTAGTAGACAAGTTGGGTGTTGATCATCACTATTGAGGCTTCTGACCGTTTGGTATTGCTATAAGTTATTGCCCCTCTAAGATTGCACCACAGATGTGAGTGATACTGTGTTATAAAGACTAGATTGTATCCCAAGATCTTGTGATGATTTAACAAGATATAGATGAGCTTGTTAGCATCTTCAGATAAAACTTTTGTTATACTAGCTTGACTTGCATGCATTTTGAAGTTCCTGCATTGATAATTTATGTGCTTATTCTAATAAAGATGGGCATAAGAATCTTTCTTTTAGATGGTAAGATCACTTACATTTTACTAACTTGTCCCACTTTTGTTCCTACAAGTTGTGGCAGGTAAATACTAATTACAAGAAACGGATCACCATAGTGAACTTGAAAATGTGACTGCTACAACAAAAACTTTGGAGGCCTAACTGGAGACCCTGATAACACTAGTGATGATCCAAGAAATCTACCACTGTGACATGTTCAAGTTTCCAATATGTCATCTTTCGTTGTCCAGCATTTAGAGGTCCAAGTCACATGTGTTTAAGATCACTGCATTGCTGCTAACAACTGGATTTGCTTCTTTACATGACATAATGTGCTGAGTCTAGTTTGAGTACATGCCTACAGGCAACATTATCGACACAAACTAAGATGGGAGAGCTATCAGCTGTAAAGATAGAATACAGTGGTCACACCAGAGAAGATCAACCTATCTCAGACAGAATTGCACTGAAGACAAAATCTTGATGTCATTTGCAGAGGATCAACAGTCTCCCAGAAACATACTGCTTGCTTTGGTTCTCTGGATTATTTATTGGAGTCTCATGCCAAAATGACAGCAAAAACATCAAGTTATGTGGTCTCTGATGCACTGAGGTCTCCCCAGCGAACATTGTAATTTGCGGCAAGGTAGTGTGCTCCTATTGGTCCGCGACTCCCGTAAGGGTAGAGCTCAGGGCCTATCTTCTTCTCTTCCAACTCTTTGAGCAGTGGCGTGAACAGCTCCCAGGCAGCATCCAATTCATCAGAACGGATGAACAGCCTTCGTTCACCCTCAATGGCATCAAGCAGCAGCCTCTCATATGCATCTGGTATCTCTTTTGAGTATCTACCAAAGCCAGAAAAAGTTTCAGACCGATAAAAAAGGAAAGGAAAGACATTAAATTACCAACTTGGTACGAAAAACAAGTAGCATTAGCTTTGATGATGAAAATAACAACCATTACAATTATGAGTGTCACAAGGCTCCTGCTGTAGAAACCCTTAATATTAACTCAGTCTATATAATTTATCTAAGTGAATTGTAAGGGTCATGATCTCGAACATTTTTCACAGTAACTTACAAAATGTTGATTAATATGTGCCAGTGGTTTAAGAGAAAGTGAAGAATAGCTAACACCATTGTGAGTTGTCATCAGGCATTCTAGGAATTGGTATATGTTCCTTTAGAAGAAAATTTATTACTTGTACCTTGATGCATAAAGAAGATTCAGATTACTGCGGTCCAATCTCATCCCCAATCCAGGAATCTTGTTATTGATTTTCAAGTAAATAGCCTCATCGGGTTGCACCCTAATTACGAGTTCATTTGTAGCTCGATCAAGATCAGTTCCAAAACTACGCTTGTATAGATTGCCAGGGACATGGCGAAACTGCACTCTAATCTCTGTTCTGCAAATGGAAATTTCCAGTGCCAAGTTATCATATTAAAGTGGTTGAATTTCAAATGATACTAACCCAAACTACATAGGAAATGCATAATTATTCATTTACAACCTACCGACGAGTGTGCAATGCTTTTCCAGCTTTCATGAGGAACGGAACTCCGTCCCACCTTGCATTATCTATAAAAAGGGCAGCTGCAGCGAATGTTGGAGTAAGGCTGCCTTTGGGTACACTCTTATCATCTGTATATCCAGGATATGTGACTCCACCCTTAGTGTGGCTCTTATACTGTCCTATCACCACATCTTCCAATTGCAATGGCTTCATAGAACGAAGAACTTTCACCTAAAATTGGCAAATAAACTTATTTAAGGAAATAAAACCAAAATATGTTCCACTACTATGCCGGTCTTCATCCAATCAAAGGACAACTGCACCACACTAGCCATGAATCTGAAGCCATCGGGTCACATCTAGAGCCAAAACTTCAAAGAAAAAGGGTCTTTGTCATATTTCATCGCACAAACCTTTTCATTCCTGATATCTTCTGCATCCATGCTAACAGGAGTCTCCATTGCAAATAAGGCTAAAATTTGAAGCAGATGATTCTGCATAATATCTCTAATGATGCCATAGTTATCAAAGTACCTGTATAATAGAAGACAAAAAGTAACTGGAAATCTCACTTATACTATAAAATTAACTTCAATGGACTATAATGTAGTTCAAACCTTACCCTCCCCGTCCTTCTGTACCAAAATCTTCGGAGAAGATCAGCTGCACATTCCTGATATATTGCCTAGACCACAGTGGTTCAAAGACGAGATTCGAGAAACGAAGAATGGATAGATTCTCAACAAGTTCCTTCCCTAAATAGTGGTCTATTCTGTAGAATGATAAATAATCATCATAAGAAAGAATTTTTTTTTCAAGCATTGTCAAATATGAATATCTTTAAAAAGGATGTCATGCTACCTAAATATTTGATCTTCCTCCAGGTATTGTTTCAGACCTCTTGTCAAAGCAGCAGAAGATTGAGAGTCCCGGCCGAACGGTTTTTCAACTATCACCCTGGTCCAGCCATCCTTGGACGAACCTGACTGGCTTGCAGATTTTACAACATCTATAAATATGTTTGGTGGAATTGACAGATAAAATAGCCGGTTTGGTAGCCTCCCACACTGCACGCCAAATAAAAAATCCAAGACTTTTCACTAATTATGGATTTTTTTGGCAAAAAAAATAAAGAAGGCTTAATAAAGATATATATTTGATGATCCAAACAAACTCACGCTAAATGTCATCATCAAGACCTTCATCATTAGCAACAAGGTCATGCTATTGTGTGGAGGTTCATGCAAATTTATAGTCAATAAAAAGGAAAAGAGTCATTAAATCAGCCTAAAGGGTGTCTTTTCACATGGGATAAAAGCTTAATTCAAAAGTCCTGTATACTATATGCAATTAAATGAATTCTTGCAGAAAAGAACTAAAAATAAGAGAATTAAGAAGTGGAGGCAAGAAAGGATCTAAATTCAACCAAGTAAAAGAAGCCACTTGTCAAATGGAGTTTAAATACCTGGATCATACTCAAATAAGCAGGGAAAGAAAACAAAGGAAAAACACCATATATTACAGATTCTAGAATCATTGGTCTCAAGATGAATGTAAACTCAACGAAAAATGTCCCGATAGGAATGTTAATTTCCTATTGGCCTAGAGTAATGTGGCTCGTGATTACTGTTTTGAAAAGGAGGCTTGCAGCTCCTAATTTTGAACTTCTAAAGTTATGAGGACGTCCTCCTTTTATGGATACAAATATTACCTCATGTTCTTTCAGCTTCTTGTCGAGCTCTGCAAAGTTTTCCTCGGAGTCATATTGACCTGAATGATAGAAGCATCTCTTTAAAAACTGCTCCATCTTCTCACTACAATTTTCGCTGACAAAAACCAGCAAGAACATTTAGCATCACTAGATTTCTGAGGCTAAGAAGCACTCAGAATCAATTATCCTGATGAATTCAAAAGTAGAATGTCTAAAACAAAGTCTAGCACACCCAATTGAGGAATTAACGTAAAAACCATTAATCACCTTTTGTCAATTCTGCACGTAAGTGTTTTGCTAACCATGGTTCTTAGTTCAGCATCAGTCATCTTACTTCGAGCATAACCAAATATAGTGAAATGCTGCATGGAGAACATAAAATTACAGCCTAGCACCGTGAGAATGAGCTATAAAAATAATGCTAGTAGCACCGCAATAACAAAACCAGACCTTTGGAAGGCAATCTTCATAATAAAGTGCGAAAAGAGCAGGAAATATCTTCTTTTTAGCAAGGTCCCCAGAGGCTCCAACCACGGTGATACTAACTGTAGACTCCCTTTCACTTGCATCAAGACCAATCGCATGTCCGTATTCCTCTGAAGATAAACCAAACAAGCCACCATTTTCCACATTCTTGGAAGGAGCTTCTTCTGCACCGCTGGATACAGGTACAGCGCCAGCTGCCGTGCAATCACCAAGAAAAAGGTTGGCCATCTCGAAATTGTAGATATAAGCAAAACAAATCAGGGAAAGAAAAACCAATCGTAGTAAGAAGATCTATAAAAGTCACTAATACGATAAAAATTAACGAAGAGACCCGCAAAATACCAAATTTACACAAGTCGAGAGCTTAATTCGCCAACCCAAGTAGAGGTCGAGCAAGAAGGATCGAACGAGATTATGGGAAAACGGAAGATGAATATCCGGACCTTCTTGCTTGCAGACAACGCTCAAGTTCCAATTTTTGAAAGACCGGGAGGGGATTCTTTGTGCAAGAGCGCTGTTAGGAAAGGGCCGAAGGAGAGTCGACGATCTCAGAGAGGGGTGGCCGAGGGACAAGCGGGCGGCGGCGGAGGAGGAGGAAGAAGGGCATTTGGCGGCGGAAAGGGCCATCTTTCCTCCTCAGGCGCCAAAGGGAAAGAGAACCGAGGCGGTGGGCGCTTCAGATAGCGAAAGAGCTCGTGCGAGGCACTTGGAGCGAGCTCTGCAGGGGCAGCAGGGGAGAGCGTGTCGTCATCTTCGAAGTGGACAGATCCTCTCCAACGCCTCCAGTTCCGATCGGACCGTCCAGGTTCAAAGCCTATCATGGCCCCACCTTTGATCGATCGGCTCCACATCAGTGAACGGTCCTGATCCAGCAAAACGGAGCGTTCCATTTCACGACCAGCCGCAGAAGACGCGCATCGCCCCACCCTTGGAATCATCCAAGGGCTCCTCGCCGAGACAAACGAGAGAGAGAGGGGAGGAAGACGAACTTCGAGCATGGGAAGGGGCAAACAGCTCTTTGGGTGGCTGGATCGGTCGCTCCGGCTCTTCTTGGGTTAAATTAGGGTTCTAATCTAAGTGATTATTTCATCTAGTTGATGTTTCAAGGTTTGGGCCGATTTGGGGGAATTCTCGCGTGGGACGTTTGTCACGTGATATACACGTGCCGATACGTGGTCGTAGGATATAGGAGACGCTGTGGCATCCACCTCCCGAGGCAATGTTTATGATCAGTCTTCACCGATGTATTATATCATACATAATTCATTAATTAAAGACCTCATCTGTAGACTCTGCATGCCAAGCTTGTGAGGGGCCAAAACATCAACATAACTATGTCGGACGAATCTTTTGGGTACAGCGAACATTTCGATCGATCGAATTTTGGCTTCACATTACACTAATCGCTTGACACGTTGACTGTGATCGCCACGTAAACAAGATTCGACATCAAAATGTTGACCAATACGAAGGATCCTTCAAATAGAGTCGACCACAATGACCACGTGGGGCTTTGGGATCCTTATCTTCTCAAGGAAGCGGCCGCCACGCCCGACGTGTCGGTAAGTCTACCGGTGAGATTTAATGAAGTATATTGATCGTACTTATGGTAGATAAATGCACCTTTGAAATGTAACTTATTTAACGATTTCGTGCCATTAATTAAGCTGTAGAAGTTTGCCTTTCTTAGTTTGTTTATGTATTAAGACTGTGCTCGATCCAGCGACGAAATATGGGCATCGTAGGATCGAAATCAGACGAACGTCTGAGCTCGAGTCGCATTTGTTAGCGTTTCTTACCTCGAATATATATATAGGAATAAATAAACATTTCAGAACTTATTAGGTTAAGGAAGCGGTCAACTCAACTGCGGTGACGATACCCCTCCCGTCTACGGTTTTCAATCTCAGCCACTCGTCCGATCTCCGCGATATAAATACCTTCGCCTCAAATGTTCGCCAGCCTCTCGCTCGCTCGCTCGCTCGCTCCTCAGGGAACCCAGTATGGCCTCCTCTACGCCGGGGGCCGCCATCGCTCCCTCGAATCCCTCGCTCTGGCCATTCTCCGCTGCATCCCGTCTCTTGGTCCCCTTCCCCAAGCCTCTCCTGTCCCTCTCCCCGAGCCACCGCAATGTTCGGCCCATCTCCGCGTCCGCGGACCGCCACCAGACCCCCTCCGCCGCCGCCTCCACCGCCGCTACCACCGCTGTCCCCCTCCTCCGTAACTTTGCCCCCGACGAACCCCGCAAGGGCTCTGACATCCTTGTCGAGGCCCTCGAGCGGGAGGGCGTCACCGATCTGTTCGCCTACCCTGGAGGCGCCTCCATGGAGATCCACCAGGCCCTCACCCGCTCCCCATCCATCACCAATCACCTCCTCCGCCACGAGCAGGGCGAGATCTTCGCCGCCTCCGGCTACGCCCGCTCCACCGGCCGCCCGGGCGTGTGCATAGCCACCTCCGGCCCCGGCGCTACCAACCTCGTCTCCGGCTTCGCGGACGCGCTCCTCGACTCCGTCCCCCTCGTCGCCATCACCGGCCAGGTTCCCCGCCGCATGATCGGCACGGACGCCTTCCAGGAGACCCCCATTGTCGAGGTCACCAGATCCATCACCAAACACAACTACCTGGTCCTTAACGTCGATGACATTCCCCGCATCATTAAAGAAGCCTTCTTTCTCGCCAGCACTGGCCGCCCTGGCCCGGTGCTGGTCGACATCCCCAAGGACATTCAGCAGCAGCTTGCCATCCCTGTTTGGGACCCGCCGCTACGCCTTCCCGGATACATCTCCCGCCTCCCTAAGCCTCCTTCACGCTGTCTGCTTGACCAAATCATCCGCCTTGTGTCCGAATCCCATCGCCCGGTTCTCTATGTTGGTGGCGGCTGCTTGAACTCCAGCGAGGAGCTTCGCCGGTTTGCGGACCTTACTGGCATCCCCATCGCGAGTACCCTGATGGGTCTCGGGGTCTATCCCACCGATGCGGAGCTATCGTTGAAGATGTTGGGAATGCACGGGACTGTCTATGCCAACTATTCGGTCGATAAAGCTGACCTCTTGCTCGCACTTGGCGTCAGGTTCGACGATCGTGTGACTGGAAAGCTTGAAGCTTTTGCTAGCAGGGCAAAGATTGTGCACATCGATATAGATCCGGCTGAGATCGGGAAGAACAAGCAGCCACATGTTTCATTATGTGCTGATGTGAGGTTGGCTCTGCAGGGGATGAATGCATTGATGGAGGAGAGTGGGATTCATCAAAAGTTCGATTTTTCCACCTGGAGGAAAGAGCTGGACCAACTGAAGAAGGCATACCCATTGAGCTATAAGACTTTTGGGGATCTGATTCCTCCCCAGTATGCAATTCAGGTGCTTGACGAACTGACGAATGGGGAAGCAATCATTTCCACTGGTGTTGGGCAGCACCAGATGTGGGCCGCACAGTATTACTCATACAAGAGGGCACGCCAGTGGCTGACATCGGGCGGACTAGGTGCTATGGGGTTTGGTTTACCAGCAGCTGCCGGTGCAGCCGTTGGGAACCCAGGAGTTACTGTCGTCGACATTGATGGGGATGGGAGTTTCCAGATGAATGCTCAGGAGTTGGCTATGATTCGGATAGAGAATCTCCCTGTCAAGATGATGGTGTTGAACAACCAGCATTTGGGCATGGTTGTACAATGGGAGGATCGATTCTACCGTAGCAACAGGGGACATACTTACTTGGGGAACCCAGCAAACGAGAGTGAGATATTTCCTGATTTCTTGAAAATCACAGAAGCGTATGGTATACCTGCTGCCCGTGTGACAAAGAAGAGCGAGGTCAGGGAAGCAATCAGGAAGATGCTGAAGACACCAGGACCTTACTTGTTGGATGTGATCGTGCCACATGAGGAGCATGTGTTGCCTATGATTCCTAGTGGCGGTGCATTTAAGGATATGATCCTCGATGGAGATGGAAGAACGCCACCACACTAATACATTTTAATTTAGGTAATCAGTTCTGTTCTGTTATGGCTTCGAACTGTGAAGTCAGGAAATATGTAGTGCTGGCTTTCGTGTTGTTACAATGAGCTTTGGCTATAGTCACATCTGTGAACTTTGAGAATTGGTTGACCTATTTTTCCTGTCTTTTTGTGCATTTTGGTAATTAGCTTTTCTTTGTTTTGTTTGCAATCACTTATTTGGTATTGTTGAGTATTCTTGCTGCCCACTTTATGGATTTTGCTACATGATCTTTGGAACAGTTTTCTGCTTGTTTAAGTTCCATCAGAATAGAACTTCATTGTTTTGCTTCCATTTCTTGATTCTAACTTACTTAGGTTTTTACTCAATAAACATCTGAAGATTTATCTTTGCTGGCAGAAATGGTGGTTATAATGCTTTATTCCAGAAATTACTTCAGTTGATTCATGTAATAATTCAGTCTACCAAGTAATGAATTAGTTATCTCATCGGGCTGAGTCATGATAGGATGAATTTGTAGTTCAAGTGTACTTGTACCAATGAATCAATGTAAGCAAACGTGCAGGGAAAAGCTTTGCAGCTGCATGTGCTGCTTTGTCCTTTCTCTTTTTCCAAACAAATTTTCTGTTACTTTGGGTATTTATTTTACATGCTTTCTTGAGTTAACCTGAATGAATCTATGCTAAATGAATCTGAGAACAAAGATCTGGTCCAGGAAATAATGAATTATAAACAAGGTAGTAATCAAATTCAGAGGCATGGTTTTCTTGCATTTTTACAGACAAAGAGTAAGATTGTATGGATAAATAAAAGATACATAGTCTAGGATCTTTTTCTTAAGCTTTACATCAGTCTTATAGTAGTTGTTCTTGTTTAGTCCAATTCATGTTGAGAATTGGGTCCTTTTGATTCAAATGGAAATTGTCCTTTTTATTATATATATTTTTAAGAACATATTGGGTTAATGAAGGTTTTAAGTCAGAGTTGTTTAGGTTTGTATATATTTTTGTGTAGGATTATGCTGACTGTTCAGATATTTAACTCGAGAAACGAAAACTCAAATGTTCTCTATCCTACTGTTGTTTTTTATCGATGTAGTACATGCTCTTTCTGCTGTGGACTGAAATTTCCAGAATTGGTTTCGGAGCCTTTTCATTCAAATTTATTGTTTAGGACAAATCAAGTAGATCTTTAGATAATGTAAATTTGACCTATCAGTGCAGGCTAGATATATTCTAGTTCAAACTATTATAGATTCAGATCTGTGTGTGGTTTTATTAATTCCTGATCCAAGATGGATTGAACACAAAGCCGAGCCATCAATTCCTCTAATATGATGCAATAATTTAGTATGTGGAAATGAACCCTGCCACTTGCACCACTGTTCCATCAATTCTGAGAACTTTGATGTCTACCTTCCTGGCTTTACACAGCTATGGCTCAGTTGGATGAGAAGGATGCAGCTCAGAGATCAAAATTGTGTGGTCTTGCTTGATCTTAGCAGGATATGGATTTGGGTGGAAGTTCTGAGTTGTCTTGGCCTCTCAATTTATCTCCTCATCTGAAAGAAACTGGTTCTTGGACCATCTGACTCTGATGTCCAAAATTTCCTTCTTCCCAGTCCTTGTATGAAATTTTTTAGCCTTCATGTGCCTCATGCATTAGCACATGAAAGGAACAGTAGTTTCCTTCTTTTTTTCTTTCACCAGTTCATTTTTCCTGTTACTATATGGCTTCAGCCTTCTTGTATTGTTTCAACATGTTGCCTGAGTTGTTTGTTTATGGTTTAACATTGATCTTACTTTTGAGATGGAAAACTTGGTGGTGTGTATTCCTCAAGAGTCCAGGTCTCTGATTTTGTAGTAACATGCAACATGACTCCATAATGTATATGATCAGAAAAATCAATCTCTCAGGATCAGGTATGAATTCTTGTTCTTTCTGCATCTTGACCTTGGAGGAGGTCAGGTAATGTGTAGTGATAAGATTCTTCTCCTACACAGACACACAACATTTAGGCAATCACCAAGAAGAAAAACAGGATAATACAGTGTTTGGATGTTCTGATGTCTAATGCTAGAATAAAACCATTTACACAGTCAACTATTAGTCTTTCATCTCCATTAGACATGTCCTTGGCTTTCATCATCAACCCAGTCTTGCCAGTTATTTATGCATGGCACCAGAAAGCATGAGCCATCATTTTTGTTTTTGCTTTATTATTCGATAAGAAATTAAAGGACTAGCATAAACACTACTCTTTTGTGATCAAAGACAATGAGGATTCCCACTGAAACAGGAAATCTGATTTTTCTTTTTATTTACATGTTGTCTTTTTATTTACATTTTCTTTTGGACAAACCACTAGAAGCTTTTCGACTCCAACAAGAAAGATTAATGGAACGAAAAGAAAAACATGGATGCTTTTGCTATTTGAATCCTGCATGCTTGACTGTCCTAAACATTGATCTGCATCATAAATCCCCTTGAACTTGTTGCAGTAACACAGACCAGGGTTTTTTAGCAGGATAACAAATATCTTCTTATTGATGGAACCAAGTTTGAGATTTATAGCCAAAATTCATCTAATTCCCGTCAGCTAGACTTAGAACATCAGACAGAGAAGTGCATCTGCATCCAGTGATTCATCACCTGGTTCTACTTTGATGCCCAATCCATATGCTTAACCGTGTTTCTCGTTGTCATCTTCTCAGACTCGTTAATGGTAGAGAAGAATCAATTCGAGCACCTTTTTCCACAGCTTTTTCTCAGGTTCAGCTGACTGCTCTTTTAAGCTGTCATACACTCGTATTGTTTCTGATACACCAAATTACTGCACACACATGCATTCTGACAAGAGAATTAGCAACAGGAAACTGAAGAAAGATTCTCTTCACAACTTCTTATTACTTCATATGAATTCCTGCAAGATTAATAAGAAGCAATCTGCTGCTTTTGGCCCTCCCCCCCCCATCTTTCGTACGAATAATTGGATGACAATGTGACTGAGTTGAGGAGGATGCCTTTTAGGTTGCATGACGCCTACATGGTCCTGTAATCTGTGGCCTCTCCACTTAATTATGCCGATGAAAAAGATCTACTCTGACGAGAGACTGATGCTCTTGTTAGGGTCAAGATTCTCACAGTTGCATCATATCTACTACGAAGAACTAGTGATGGCGGATCTAATGAGAACAAGAGAAATCAACGTGAGCTTTTAGCTAAATCCAAAATGGATCTTGGTCTTTTGGAATTATAGCTCTCCTTAAGAACCTTGGATTCCTGTGCTGATCAAATCCTTTCGGTAAATCATGCAAGCGATATAGAGAGAACGAATATACATGAGCATGACATAAAATCTTAATCAACGGACATGAGCAATGAAGCAACAAAAACATGGAAGAGAAGCGACATGTGTGTATGTTTCTTCCTCGCTAGGAACTGGGCGGCGCCGGGGGTGGTGGTGGTGGAGCAGCAGCATATCCTGAGCCATCCAACCCATGACCGTTGCCGTCCTCCGGCAGCCCCTGGTGCCACAGTGGCTGCCAAGCCTGCGCCGGTTGCTGAACGTAGATCGCCGGATCTATTCCGGCCACCGCAGGCTGTCCCATAATCACTCCTGGCCCCGGCTGTCCCACCGGAGGGTAGTAGTACGGCACGCCGGCGGTCGCGCCACCCTCGCCGCTTCCTCCTACCAGTCCCAGCGCCTCCTCCTTTATCTCCTCCCTCGGCACAATGTCGACGAGGAAATCAAATATGTCGGTCCTCGAGATGGCCGCGGCGATGTCGTTCTTCTGCAGGGTCCGGCGCTTGTTCTCCTCCGCGTGGAGCCACGAGCGGATCGTCAGCTCGAGGATGAAGAGCTCGCAGGCCTTGGCGAAGAGTATCGGGGCCTCCGCTGATATCATGCGGACGTCCTCGTCGGCCTTCATGATCTTCTTGATGCGCGCCAGGGGGAGCTGGTGGTTCTTGAAGTCGGTGGCGTGCTCGATCTCCTGCCGCTGGTAGTTCCAGAACATCTGGAGCTGTTGGTGCTGCTGCTGGAGGAGGTGATGGAAGGGGGCTTGTGGATACGAGTGTGGCGGCTGGTTATCCATTCTACGCTCCTTCTCCGGACGTATAAGCTCAGAGGAGTTGTGTGTGTTCAAGCCTAGTAAGAGAATAAGCAATGGAGCTAACATGAGCTCTTCGCCAACTGTTGTGGGATGTCTTCAACATACAATATCTTACTTCTTATGGACACAGAATAATCTTTCTTATATTAGAGTAGGCTACGGATAGGAGAGCAATTCTACCTTTATGAATCTTGAGCTTTATCTTCACACGGAATCAGATTCTTGAAGAAAGCAGCAAATGGAATAAAAAGTACAGTCTTTTACTGCTCATCATCGATTCTTCTGACAGAAAAAAACGCAATTAATCTTCGTAAGATAACAGATCGCAAGTGAAATCTGGACTCGAACTGGATTGGTTCAGAATTGGCAGGAGAGAATCTCTTTTACCTTGATATCAGGAAATAAGAGGCTTTCTTTGCTGCCTCTAGACTTGAATCTTTCTGCCTTTTCCCACCCAATAGCTTCTGTCTCTTTTACAGTGGCAAAGCTTTGGAGGAATGGGTCAGCTTCAACATGGCGTCAGTGCTCTCTGATCCTGCAGATGGAAGCAAGAACGAGGTGTGAGCTTAAAATGAGTAGAACTCTTAAATGAGGTTGAGAAGGAGGGGGATATAGTGATAGGGGAAAAGGATAAGATGTGGACTGCTAAGAAGTAAGAGCCTCATCCTCCACAGCTTCTATGTGCAGAGGTAGACTAGAGATATTTCAGCTTTCTTCTTGGATTGTATCTGAGGAGATTTACTGACAAAAAGAGAAAATATATGAGTAGAATTGAGCCTAGTACTGCATGCTCCACTGATATCTTAGCCTACTGCTGCTGCATCATCCTCATGTATGTGTTTAACAGCTCGGCCTCCATCTCTGATTTGTCCCTTATGTTTAGTTGCCATCATCTAAACAGGAGCAAAGCAACACTGGGTTACTCTGATCTGCAGTCATCCAACACAAGAGACGTGACTGTGAACAGCTCCATCTGCAAATAAGAGTGGCTAAATTCCATTTTGGGGTGGATAGGATACCACTGCCTGTCCAGAATGAGAAGCTTCACAGAAAGTCCAAATACAAATATTATGTGTTGACTTCAAAACCACAGGAAACAATACTGGTCTACATTGATCTCTCTATTGGGAGAAAATGTGGCCAACTCTTCTTGCGAGCAGAAACAAACCTGACAAAAATCAAACACCCAGAGTTAGAAGAGTTTGAGATTAATGATTCTGTGGTGTAGACAATCCCTGTCTTATAAATTAGGCTCAAGATAAACTGCAATTGCTTAAACCAAGGTTTGTGCCAGTAGGTGCATGCAGAACAATTTAACAGTTCCTGCATCAAAGGTGAAGAGCTTCCCTTGTGTGGCCATCTCTTCTTCTTGGCCCTGATAGCTCCATCAACAACAGCTGCAGCAGCTTGGAATTGGTTTTCGTGCAAGCGAGCTATTCGCTTCTGCACTTTCTGATGTCGGAAGTAGGTCAACGTTCTCAACCTCACTGAGAATTCTTCTGAAGGTTTCTACTTGCCCCTTCCTCCGGAGGCTGACGCAGGAGAAACTCTTTGCACGAGATTTGACGTCCACATGGAGGCCCAGCAGAAAAGGCCGAGACTAGGCCCGACCTGCGTGTTAATGGGCCGTAAATAATAAAAATGGGCCTCCAGCGTCGTGTATACGCGTTCTTAGATGAACTCAAATACGATAGAGAGAGAGAGAGAGAGAGAGAGTTGCCGTCCCTGTTCTTTGATTGGCGGTCAAGGCGGTGATGGATCCGGACGCGGTGGCGAAGGCGTTCGTGGAGCACTACTACCGGACGTTCGACAGCAGCCGGGCGGCGCTCGGGGTGCTTTACCAGGACGCCTCCATGCTCACCTTCGAGGGCGACAAGATCCAGGGCGCCGCCGCTATCGTCGCCAAACTGTCCTCCCTTCCCTTCCAGCAGTGCGCCCACGTCATCGCCACCGTCGACTGCCAGCCCTCGGGACCCTCAGGCGGCATGCTCGTCTTCGTCAGCGGCTCCCTCCAGCTCGGCGGCGAGCAGCACCCCCTCAAGTTCAGCCAGGTTTCTCTCTCGCCCTCTACATTCTAGGCTTCATTTTAACTTTCGTCATGATTCGTTCTCTTTCAGTGTTCTAGTGTTCTAATGGCCATGGTTCTAGGGTTTGATCGATGAAGATGATCTGATCCAGGGTTCTTTCTTGTCCGCACAATTGTAGGCCAATGGTTGCCAAATTTAATCCCTTATGCACCTTTTTCTGGTCTTTACACCGAGAGAAAATTATGGAGTTGGTATTATCGGATAATGAACCAAAGTTGAGTCTTTATGATCCGTCACCGATGCAACAAGATATGGGATCGAGATCCTGGAGGCTCTATATATACTTCTGGTCAATTATGATTATTTGAGAAGCAAATGTGTTCTCAATTACCTTGTAAGGCAGACTGACATCTTAGTGTTAACTTGTATGGGTAATTTTTGCAACACGTTTGAATCGTCTTAGTGTTAACTTGTCTGAGATCTGAAATATATTCTCTGCAATGTAAATGTAAGATTGTCTTTATAGCCATTCATGTCACTGATTTTAGAAGTTCTATGTCCAGAGCAAATGCATATCTTTGTGAGAGAGATTCTTTGAAACACACCTTGACTTGATTTATTATAGACCATATGATGAACTTTGTGTGATATTTAATTTATAACTATATTGGTCATTAGACATCTTCGAGTAACTGGGATGTGTTCATTCATCGGTAAGCTCTTGTGTTAAGAATGAAGAATGACCATACTGAGGTTTGTTTTTGTGGGGGCCAATGGCAGGTGTTCAAAACAGCATTAATATGGGTATTTTAACATCATATAATTTCGCAAACTGCTTGAGGTCGTCTGTCTAAATGACCATTTATGTTCAATTCCAAAGAGGTAGACAACATGCAGTTACCATCTGATAACTATATTGGATGCTGGATGCTTTTTGATGTTGGAGTTTATACATGTTTCACACGAAGGTGCTTGATTCTTGATAAAACCTACAAAAGCACCTGTTAATAATTCTCTTCAACGACAAATTTGTCGCTTGCCACTGTATTTGATTATTTTCTGTGTCTGTAGTTCAAACATGTTTTTACCTCTTGCTCTCTTTTCCTGCTTTCCTTTTTCTGTTATGCTGCTTTGACTTATTATTTGGAAGTGTTATGCATTTGAATATTTAGTAATAGGCTTGGTTGGTTTTTATTCTACTGCATGGAATTCTATAATATGTTTCTCTGCAAATATTAGAATTCCTGAGTGGCTCTATGAACTTATTGAAGAATCCTTCATACAGTTGAGCCTAGTCTTAAAACCACCTTTCATTCTGATAGTGTTTAGATTATTGTTATTGTTTGTCATTGTTGCCTAATCAATGACCTGTTACTGACTGTGGTATTGATTATAATCTGTAGATGTTCCATCTGATGCCGACGCCGCAGGGGAGCTTCTACGTGCTGAATGACATATTTCGCCTGAACTATGCCTGAGCAGATCTTTTATACCGTCTGGAGTGTGGTGTTTGGATGACAGGAGAAGAAGCTGCTTTGTGTAGTAGATCTCCAATTTAGAGAAGATTGTTGTTGTGAACATCGATGGTGGTTCCGAGAAAGGAACTGAACCTTTTCTACATAATCTTGCCTCTTCAAGGGGGATATTGTGTTTGTGATGAAACCGATGGATTGTGTTACCGTCAGATTCTTTTTGAGTTAATTCTATGGCATTCGATCGATGATGCCTTTTGGTTCACCGCAGGCATGTTTTCGTATGAACAAGTGAAATTTGATTACATTTTAATATTAGGCTGTCATTAACAAAAATAGAAAATTAATATTGCATTTATACAGTCTGAAGGAAGTAAGAAAATTATCATCCATAAATAATAGGATGAAAAATAAAACAAGGAAAAATCAATGTTCATTAAAATCATAAATAAATTGGAGTTTTGTTCACATGAATTCTTACTGATTTAACCTACTCATCTCTTATTTCAGATTCGTTCTCTTTTCCTTAAGGAAGAGAATAACAACTATAATGTCCTCTAAGAACTAATGTAGCCAAGGATTAGGAAGAAGACAACCCTCAGAATTTGGTCATGCATTCTTTCTTTTTGTTTTCAAAGGTAAGCTGCGGTTTCTATTTCTCCATCTTAATTTCCTCTAATTTGTCTTGTGCTGACAATATACTTTTTTCATGTTCTGTATGTTTCACAGTTGGAGGCGAAAGTAGACTCATGAAATTGTCTTAGAGACGAACATTAGATGATGGTGATTGCTATGATCCAAACTAGTCACAGCCATTTGGAGAGAAGCGATTGAATCTTCAAAAGCAAATTTGTACTCGGATACTATGTGTTCAACCTTTCACAGGAACTTCAAGATTTTTCTTCATCTTGAACAAATATATATGTGTAGAAAGTATGAAATCATAAATATTGTGCTTTGTTCTTGTAAATAAACCTTACATTATGGTCCGAAGTCATTACAAGGATCCATGAACAAGTTCACTTAAAAAGGACTACATTTGATTGCCCCAAGAAACTAAAGACCTCCTCAACAAAGAATGCTGAGAGTATATTAAGGATTATATTTGGACCTTTTCTAATAATTTGAGTCATTGAGATTCATGATCACCAAATTATATCTTTAAGAAAAGACAATTTTTTTTTCAAGAAAAATAATATCTAGAACATATGACAAGCAATTAATGTCTCATTTAACTTTTTCTTTGGAAGATAATGCAGACCAACTATTGGCTTGTAATATGCCTGCAGAATTCTATCAATCAATGTTTTTTGGACAGCCCAAAAGACTGCATTTAAATTGATATGATCATTTTCAAGTAGAATAAATCATTGGTTTATTCTATTAATCAATGAGGTTTACTATTTATTTTGTTGTTCTTTTCATCCCATCCACCCATCAACTCAATTTGCTTTCTTATTTTTTACCCCATCAAATTGCATGCATGATTGGAACCAAAAAGATTTAGTGGATGGTTGATTCCCAATTTAATCTTCATAAATTGTCTGTCCATAAAATTCTTACTATTAAAATTTCAACATTAATTAGAAAATATTTGTCAACTACTCTGACACATCAGTGACATAATAGCATTTGAATTAATGTTTTTACTTTTTGTATCAAGACGAAAACAAAGATTTGCTATGTTATCAACAATGTGGATGCTTCCTAAAGATTTGTGCCCCTTGATCAAATTCATTTTTATTCTTCATATTCATGCTAGTGTATCATAGAAACATATTTCTATGGGCTATAAATTGGATAATCATATGATCTAAGTTGAACATACTATCTACATCTTGAATCTCTCACAGAGAAATTATCTATCTTATTCCTGATAATGATCATTATCTTACCACATGATAACTTTTGAGGTTCAAAGTTTGATCCCAACTTGCCTACAGTAAACAAGAAGAAAGTAAGTATAAATATCATTTTTTAAATGAATATTTTCATATAATATTAATATTTTCTAAATTTCTTCTTTCTATGAAGAAAGAGAGGAATCATATGTAAGTACTTTTTTTTTCTCAAATAGTGATATTAAGATACTACTAGTTCAAAATCAAATCAAATAGAAGAAGAAAAGATCAAGACGAAAAAGAAAAACTATATTAAATTTCTAAAAAAAAAACACTTACATATCTTTAAACGATTATTAGACTTTAGCTTTATAAATTTGAATACTTGACGCTTGGATAGATCTATATTGTCATCTATTTATAGATATAAAATATAAGAATCCTTAATCTCTACAACTCTATTTAATCTTATTTAAAAGGTAAGACATCAATTTGAAAATTTTCAAGAATTCCTTATCCTTGTAACTCTGTCGAATCTTATTTAAAAGGTAAGATATTAATTTGTAATATTTTAAAATATACTTTAACTTCTTAACACTTTTATCTCCTACATTTTTATTGAAAAAGAGAAACCTCCCTATAATTTTCACTAAGAAATCCTAGAAAGAAGGGTGAGGAAGGTGACAGCTGCATTCTTCTTTTTCTCTTCAAAGGTTAGCAGAATTCTCATCTATAGTTTCTACTGCCATATAGTTGTCTTGGTCATCTTATATTAACATCATCCATTCATGTTTGCAGTCACTAAATTCTCCTTTCAAGACAAACATCAGATGGTGAACGACAACCTCCTCAGTCAACTCATAGGAAACTCCAAACATTTTCACAGGAGATCAAGTTTTTGTTCTTGTACATTTTGAGCTGATGTGTACTCAGTTCTTGTGCTTTCTCCTGTAAATAATCCTTGAATATTTATTGAATTGCAACAAAGAGAGAGATAGTGATTAGCTTTGGGCATCAGCAACACAAACTTCCAATTCCATTTTTCTCACCAAAAGGAGAACTTCAATTCCACGACAATCATATGCTCCATTTGATTGTAAACTAGAATTCATCTCACCAATTTGATCACAATCATCAATGAAACTAGCAAGGACTTCAATTTTCTTCTCTAAATAAGGTTCTGCTAATGAAACTAACAGAATCCTGTAGAAACTCAAGAGTCTTAATTTCTGTATAGATATGCATGTAATCATATACAAGAAAAAGTTGCCACAGTTTGGCTGTTTGCAATGACTGTTGACAACTTGACATCATATCATCACAACTCTAATCTGTAAAGTATCTGTCCTCACCACAAAGTTGTTTTAAGTACACGATAAAGCATAGATTTTCTGTATCAAGTTGCTTGAGAAAAAACCTCTTCTGAGCAGACAACAACAACACTTTTAGTTCTTTAAAGATTGTTGATGCTTTTTCATCTTCAAACTAGAAGGCATGAAAGGAGAATGCAATTTGCATACTAGCACAATAGGCAATCGACGATTATCTCAATATGAGTTTTGTCTGTACCATTACATTCGGTTCTTACCTATCTCAACAAAGACAACTTACTTGCACTGCAAGCACAAGATCAAAGGAACACACACACACAAATAAAACAAATAGTTGCATGCACTCTGAAAGACGCTCATGACCATCTCTTCTCTTGACTGAGTTAGAAGACAATCCTGAGTAGATGCAGGCCATTCTTTGTATAGATTGGGAGCATGATACAGAAGAAACACTGATACGATTGAAATTTTTTTCGGTCATGGGGATCTGGTTGTACGAGTCAGAGATGACCTCATATTTACAATAGCTGAACCATCGGCTCCTAACCTCATGGCCTGTTTTCCGGCTTCTAAAAATCTTGAAACAGCTCCATTTACATATGCACTGGCCTCCCTGACCTTCATTTGCTTGCTTGTTTCATGGCTGAAGCTGCTCAAGAAATAGTCGCCATTAAGGACGGCTGCTAACTCAGCCAACTCTCTCTGAAACTCAGAAAGCAACCTATCTTCTTTTGCATCGATGTTTCTCAGAGGAGGAACATCAGGTAATACTTCTGCAAAAGGACAAAAAAAGTATGAAATCAAGCACAACTTTTCTCTGTTGACATTAAGTTGAGCAGAAAGCATCCTTCAAAACTATTTGCCCATCTGCCCAGAATAGTCATAGTTGTCAAATTGATATATTATTTTAACAAAGTATAATACTGTAAGCACATGTAAGGACTTCAACTTGCAGCATTGCAATACACTTGTAATTTCCCAATTGGTAGTATATGAGTGAGTCAGTCTCATTTCTTCTTTGTCATCACAATGAAACATGAAATGCTTTCTTTTTCAATTCTGAACACATAATAAGAAGTACCAACAATTCTTTACACCAAGGTGGAAACCAATTAGAAATTTAGAATTAATTTATAATGATAACACTTACACAGTGGCAAGGACTACAGTGCCAATCAGCATTGATTAACATAGGTTGGCATGTATCACATTAGGGATGATACCGACACGCTTCGTATCAAGTCTTGCAGAGGGCCAATACATGAATAGGCCAATGCTTGAACCATGCAAGCACAAGGGCATCACATGTCATTGCCACATTCCATAGCGGCAACCCTTACTCAACGGGGTGATATGGTATCTTCTCATAATCCGATACAAGAAAAGTTCAAAGAAAATAACCAAATGCTCATCTTGAACATATTGGAGTAATGATCCAATTTCCTTTCACTGAACAAGATAATATGTCTTAGAATAGTTTGTACCACGATAGAAAAGATCTTTTGTGGCTACATGACAAATCTTTAGTTCAATGCTTACGGGGCACAACAAGGAGCAAATTCAGATGCAAGAAAAGGAGAGGAGACAGAGAAAAGGAAACGTATGTTTCTGTAGCTCAAATAGCAAGCAAGATTTCCCTTCAATAGAGTAAGGAAAAAGAAGAAAGAAAAGGATTGTCACTCCCTTAGGCTCTCAACTTATCTCTTCTAAATGAAAAGGGCTTACTGGTCAACCTTATAATTAATAACATCTGATACCCTGCACTAGGTTGTAGTAATTTGACCAACATAACTTGTTGATTCTTCTAAATCTTCCCATTATTTTGTTTTTTATACTAGACTAACTAATTGCTTCTTTTTTTGCAAACGGTAAGTGACGAAGGCGGGATTCAATCCTAGGACCTTGTGAAAAACTAATTGCTTCTTGCTGCTCTAATTTAGGGGAAGTGGCATATTTCGTGTACAAATCGTCAATTCAATTGCTGCATTCTTTAATCATGTTCTGTCTATTTCATAGTGGTTGAAACAAATATATGGAGATAAGTGGATCAGCAACTATAACCTTCATCATGGCCTCCAGAATAATTAAATAGAGGCAGAGATAATAAAACATAGCTTTCAGAGATGGATTGGACACCTCTTGCTAGATCACTGGAATTTTAGCCATATCAAGAAATTAATTACTACTCTTAGCTTCTAAATTTCTATGTATCTTGTAAGCAAATTCAGACTTATTCGAAAGCTGAAAATAACTGTTATATGCAGTATCAGAGGACCAAAAGTTGAGGAAATAAAATGACATTTTAACAAGCATACCAGGACAATCTGTTCTAGGCGAGGTTAAATGTCCCACAATGTCTTCGAAGGTGCCAGCCCATGCATCCCTCTTCGTCAAGAAATCTGATTTAAGTTTGAACAATTTCTTTATGGTTGCAGGAATCGATGAGTGCTCGAATTCTGAGGTTGAACTTGGTCCATGTGGTCTGCTCATCACTGCCCAAATTTAGACCCCCAAACTGTAAGTAGTATTCAAATGGCAAGAGAGGCAACCAAACAATAAATACCACTAATGCCATGAAAATAAGACATATCGGGACCATTTCACCGAAGTAAATATGACCTCCCGTGTTCATTTCACTCGGGAAAACAGATGATGGCAAACGATCAACTGCTTACAGAAAAAAAACCTTCTTTTCGACAAACAAGCAACTTACAGGTAGGTAACTAGCTTTCTTCTACAGAAACTACTTAAACTACGATACAGAGAAGAAAACACATGCTTTGCTCTTCTATTTGAGAATGTGGGATCGTAAATAGCCATAATAGATCTTATTCAAGACAGAAGAGCATACCTGTTCCTTTCTTGATCCAAGGAGAAACCATAATTGTCGGAATTCGAACTCCCAATCTGTCAAACTTAAAGAAGAAAGGATCTGGTCCCATAATTCCATCTGGATTTGGAACACCCTCATAAGGTGTCGCAACATGATCATAAAAGCCCCCATGCTCATCATAAGTAATTATCAAAAGGCTCTCATTCCACTGCGGGCTTGACCTCAGTGCTTCGTACACCTCCTTCACCAACTTCTGTCCATTAGCAACATCATGAGAAGGGTGATCGTCATCCGCAGGATGCTCCAACAAATCAAAGTACCTCGGCTCTATAACACTCAAGCTTGGCAGCTTCCCTCTCCTCGCGTGATCCTTGAATGTCGAGAAGAAATGGAACTTGGAAATGTACTTCAACCTCCTCAAATTCCTGTAGAACAGAGTAGTGGGTATGTTCTTGAAGTAGATACCAAAGTCCAGTCCATCTTCTTGGAGCGAGTCGAAGATGGTCTTCTGTGGATAGCCCAAAAGTAGGTTGAACTTATCATGGCGTATCGCGCCGTGGGAGGTTGCCGAGTACACGAACAGCCTGTTGGGCTGCGTTGGCCCGGGAATCGACGAGAACCAACGATCGAACACCGCGAATTCTTGTACCAAGGCTGCGAAGACCGGGACGCTCTCGGGGTTGAACCCCTTCATGACAGTGCTCGACAGGTTCCGCGAGATGGTCAGCGCCTGCTGAACGAAACCGGACATGGAAGGAACGGCACCGGAGCCAAACACTTGTTGCACGACATCCTCGAAGGAGTGGCCTGGATCCGGGTCGACGAACTGCGCGTCGTCGGAGACACAGATGAGCTGAGACTTGGGGTCATCAGTGGAGTGAGGATTGCATTCTCTACCCGTGAGGCCGTCGATGGATGGGTTGATGGACTGCTTCATCCAGCCAAGCATGTGGTCGAAGGACCTGTTCTCCAAGACCAGCACCACAACGCTCTTAATTGGCCGCCTTGCTGCATCGGAACAGCAGGGGTGGTGGAGGAGCGAGGCGACGATGAGAAAGAGAAGAACGCGGAGCTGGTGCTCGGATCCTTGCATGGTAGCCTCTCCGCAGCTAGAGCAGATCTTTGAAATCTTGCCTGAACTCTACGGATCTTCTAAATTCTTCTCTGGAGGAGAGCTTTTCTATGCACCAAAGACATCGTGAGAAAGCTTTCTCAGTCCTGGCAGCTTAGCAGAGTTCAAGATGATGGATCAGTGGCAGAGGCAGAAGAGATTGAGGGATGAGGAGAGCAGCATCAAACGAAGAAGGTAAAGTAGGAAGAGAGTGACACTGCCGCAAGGACACGGTGAACGATACAGGGTAGGTTGCTTCTGCACAAATCGAGAAAGCCTAATTTTGGTTTCATGGAGTGTTACGAGCAGATGATGCCGAGGAAGAGGCCAAATGGTCAAGACCACGAGGACAGAGACCAACAGTGAACAGTATGCCATTACAGAAATCCAACACTGGAAATTGCATGACAAGATCAATTCTTTAGACATTAGATTTTGCTTGCGGTAAGAAACCTCTGCGGCCCACATGATTGATTTGTAGACCACGGATTGACGGTGCCAGTGAAGGATGCCAATGTTCATGGAGGAAACTCCAAACTCGTGCCGCCCCACATCGGATGAGGCCAACTGTTTTCCCCTCTGATCTTTTTCCGTCACAGCCTTTCTCTACAGGAAGAAAGTATCTAATTAATTATTTCTTTACAAAGGTAAAAAAATGTCTATATATATATATATATATACATATATATATATATTTCTTAGTCCGCCCATTGGAATGCAATGGGGAGGAGGATCCAAACCATTGTTTTAGAACTCAAACCACATGATGCAACATGGTTATAGTTGGACTGGCACTGACTCAGCTGGATTTTGTCCATGCCATCAGCTGACAAGAAACAGCTGTTCTGAAGAATGAAATCTTGACTAGGGTTCTTCGGAATCAATAAAATAATCTGTCACAAGCCTGCATCATATATTGGACATACATCTCATTACTTCAACATTTTTATGGTATTTGGATATCATGAACTTTAAGCTGAGGGTTTGGGTTGGGCCGTATATGGGCCCGTTATGGGCCGTATACTATTTTTATTCCTTGCTTGGCCCCCACTTTTGTCCGGTATCATCCACTTTACATCACCTTTTTATTTCTCTTCCCTAAACAGTCCGTTAAGATACAAAACAATAGTTAATGTGGTTGAAGCTATATAAGAATGAATACCATCCTCATCGATGTATGAACAATTATGAGGCCTGTTATAGTGAATTATGTGATGCATTTATTCATGGATATTGGTGGTGACAGGGAGTATAATAATGTTCATCGATCATAGTTCTAGTATCTTTTTCCATGAGTAAGGTGGTGAATGCAAATATGGATTTCTTCTGGTTGAAAAATGCATGCATTAAGTAGGGTCGAGAGAACTTTAACTCGCTTTTGCAGTGCTCCCACAAGAGGAGGAAGACAAAGCGAGCCATGCAATTGCAGGTGGTGGGTTGAGACAACAATGGTGGAGAAGTAAAGCGAAGCAAGTGCAGGGAAGAACATGAGGTGGTTCGGTGAGGCGTGGGTGGTGACCTTGGTGCAGGGGTTTTGGATCTCTCCCCCAGCTGCCTTGATTCCATTCCCATGAAGCTTTCCACCACTTTCCTCACCCCCTACACCCCCTCATCGCCTCTCATATAGAGCATCAGCATTAGGAGGAGGAGGCGGAGGAGGAAGAGATGGCAGACTGGGGGCCAGTGTTCATGGCAGTGATACTGTTCGTTCTTCTCACGCCGGGCCTCGTGTTCCAGGCCCCCGGCAAGAGCCGCTTGATCGAGTTCGGCAACTTGCAGACCAGCGGCATCTCCATCGTGGTCCACTCCATCATCTACTTCGCTCTGGTTGCTGTCTTCCTCCTCGCCGTTCATGTCCATATGTACATTGGACACTGATCCTGCGATGAGAGTCCATTGTTGCTGCTTCATATTTCTCTGCTCTCTATTCCATTTAATAATATCTTTTAATTCCTTCGTTGTTGCAATGACCGCAGTGCATGAACTCCATGCTTCTGACTTCATCTTTGTTTGAGTTAATGGAAATCCCCACCACGAATGCTTGAAACATCTAATGAGTGACTGCAGTGTCTCAAATTCTTGCTTCTGATGTCATGTTTGTTCGAGGGAATGGAATTCGTTGTTGGAGTTTGGCAGGAGAGAGAGAGAGAGAGAGAGAGAGAGAGAGAGAGGGTCGTGGAGTCGAACATGAACGTGATCGGGATGTTGGTGTGAGCCCCGAGGCCAGACGGGTTAAGACGAACCAGTAATAAATGAAATGCATGATTACGTGGAGATGATGTCCATGATATGAAACACATGTAATGTGGACAACCTTTGAGGGTTATATGATATATCCGCCAAAAAATATTTCTTTCATTAAAGCGTTTTGCTTTCTAATTAGAAAAATAATTCTGAAAAATAACCGTACTCCGACGAGTGATGCCGATTATAATAATGGCCATTTTTAATCGGTGAGATGAAGTGTTACATCGGGTAGTATAAATCATTAAAAGGATCATTTATTCGCAACCTTGTCCACCGCCAAGACCGTGTCGAGATGAGATCGCGACCGTCCATATATGTTTCATCAAGGTCCCTCCAAATCTTTGATATTGGTGGCCTGCCGCTTTATGGTGGGAGGCTACTCGTTCTCGGCTGTCAGCTATAAAATAGCAACCAAACTGGAATCGTATCTGCCGTTGCGGAATTCGGAGAAAGAATCGCCGGTTCGTCGCATCAATCCGACTGTCATCGACGAACCATGCGCATCCGATCGCCAAAAATTCAACCTTTGCCCCTTTTTTTCGAGTAGGAGAGGAGCTTCCCCCACTTGGATTGGATCAATGTAGTTGGGCGGATGAATATCGGGGGAAGTATCGTTGATCATCTGAACCTCAATCGCCATTCTTTCTGTTTCATTTGATCTCTATTGTATCTTTCTAGTTGTTTCCTGATCGAATTTCCGTCGGCAAATGGATTTGGAAGCAAATGACTCATTTTTTCTCTTGATCTCGCTATAAAATATTAGGGTTTACTAAGATTTTAGTTCGATAAGCGTGAATCTATTGGGGATCTTTTATGCTTTCGTATGTAGGGTTCTTGAATGTCGATTTTTAGGGGTCAAGATGAAAACTTCATGTAATTTAGTTTACTTTTTGGCGAATCAAGAAAGGGAGATATATCAGCGATCGTTTGATGATGGAAAGCAATACACAAGTAGGTGATGACAAGGATACTGGATGGTTCGAGGTGAAGAAGGTACTGCGTTTCTCCTTCTATTCATCATTTTATATTTTGTATTCGTGTATTGCGGGATTTGTTTGATCTTCTGTGGAATTTTCTGACTCTTTAAATTACGAAGCTGTTTTAAATGGGAGTCTTAAGAATGATGCTTACGGAAAATAAAACAATGGAACCCAAGTTATCCTTGTGTATCTCAGCTGGAGCTTTTTGTGAATGGCTACTGAAATGTTTGCAACATAAACCCAAAAGAAATCCATATAATCCCAAAACAAATTTCAGCATATGTTAGGTGTGGCTGACCTTGTTATGTCAGTTCATATGAGTGAATTCAATGCTTTAGGATCCTCGAGAACATTTTGAAATTAAGATGTGAAGATAGAGTCACTTGACTTCTCATCATTATTATCACTTTTACAGAAACATAGAACTAGCAGAAAGCTTACGATCCAGAAAGCTACTGGAGGATCTTTAAACAACACCTTCTCTCCTCACTATTATTCATCCACCGATGATGAGACTGGGAACTCTGACAGCAGACTACAATTCTTACCATCTAAATTGGCACTTGATTGTTCTTTAAAGGTTGTTGCTGCTGTTGACGTTACCCCTTCATCAAAAACAGACCATGATAAGGTCTGCATTGATGAACTGGTTGTCCAGGAGAGCGAAAGTCTTGAGGTCAGAGCGACAGATTTCAAAGTTGGGGTTACAACAGTCGAGAAAGTGTCCACACATGAAACATTCAACAATGTTGCAAAAATTAAGTGGGGTGATCTTGAAGATGTTGCTTTAAAGTTGCATGACTCTTCTGAATATAGAAGTGCTCCTGTGAAGGCTGCAGGTGGTGATTCTGCCTCTAGTAACTTACAGGAACTTGGAAATTCTGAAATGGTCAGCGAATCAATATTACATCTATCAACCCACGATCCTCTTCAAGAGGGAAGGGTTATGGAGTCCTCTGCACACGTAGAACAACTTCCTGCACAAATTTTAGCTTCAGATATACACAGAGAACCTATTGAATTGACTTGGAAAGAGGTCAAAGAGTTTCCTTCTGAAGAGATAGAGGTGGGGATCGTCAATCAGACTGATGCTATTCATAGTTTGAACATAAACCTTGATGATGTTGTCAAACCAACATGTAAAACTGGAGGTGACTTGGTTTCGAGTGATATGATGATTGGAAACTCTCCTGCATCACCTGTTCAAGGAGTTGTCCAAACGACACATCGGGAACCTCACCTTCAGTCCAAGGATGGGGTCTTTGACACATCCAAATTATCAGATACTAACATCAATGCATCCATGATACTTGATCTGGGAAATGGTGTTACACACCTGAAGAGTGGTCTTGAAGCTTCGGTGCATGTTCCAACTACAACTGTCATTGAAAGTCATAATGAGCTTAGTGATGGATTAACAGTCGGGACGGGTCTTGCTGATGGTGAACCTGGGGAGAGCAAAGAAAGGTTTAGGCAAAGGCTTTGGTGCTTTCTCTTTGAAAACCTGAATAGAGCAGTTGATGAACTTTACCTTCTCTGTGAATTGGAGTGTGATATGGAACAGATGGATGAAGCTATTCTTGTTCTTGAAGAAGCCACATCTGATTTTAGAGAACTGAAATGTAGAGTCGGGCATTTTGAGAACACTAAAGCCTCCTCACAATCATCGAGAGATGGAAATCCAATTATTGTAAAGGCTGATCATCGCCGGCCACATGCATTATCTTGGGAGGTAAACATGATTAGTACTCCATCTGACAATTTAATTTTGCAGATGATTGAAAATAATTTTCGAAATTTAGTCCTCGAGAACATTCTTTGCATGCACACTTCCTCGAGATTAGGGACTCGATATAACAGTAGACATAATAGTTATCTTGATTATATAATGAATGTACTATATTTGACATGTAGATAGTAATTAGTGTTGCATAGTGCAGTTATCTGTTCTGAACTTCTGATTAACAATATGAAAGCATAGTAATTCATGTTGATGCAAGCTTATTGTAGCTGGCAACATGAACAGAAGTTCTCTTATTTGTTGTCAACAGTAAATTGAACTCTAACCACAAAATTGAATATTGGGTTCCCTTTCTGTCAAATGTGCAGTCAAAAAGTTGAAGGGGGATTAGATTCTTCTTATTGGATTCGAAGCTTAATTATTTTTATTGTGTTTTTTTCATCATGTTTGCAAATCACTGAAGGTTGAAACATTCTTTCACAGTTCCATTTTTAGAATACTGTGGCTGGTTTGCTATGTACTTGAAATGCTAAGTTTTTAATGCTATCTTTCATTCGAGGGAATGCATTAGTTGATTGTTAGAATTAAGATGGCCATTAAACAAAAAGTGGTTTGAGTATTCTGGTGATCAGAATAGATTAAACAAACTGGAATTTATTGATCTTATGAGAACTAGAGGTTTTGTATGGTTTTTGGCTTATTATATAGTTTTAGTTTCACAACATCTGATATTATGATGTTTTCTATGTATAGTAAGTCAGTTGCACTTGTTAGGTATTTCTGTCCCATATTTGTTATATAATTATTCAGGGGAAGGTGAAAAGATTGCCACATTGCAGCACTGGGGAATAGAAAAGGGAGGTTGGTAATTCAAAGGGTTTTATTGGGTTCCTTCCTGCTACAGTTAACAATACAGAGTAACACCAATTTAACATAAAATTGGAAGATAAATAGGCTGCAGATCTTTAATGAAGCCTAGAAGATGTGTAAAGAAATGATTGGATAAATGCCTTAAGACTGGTCAAAGTCTACACTTATGATAAATTGAAATTTTCCTTCAGAATTAATGTGTGGAAAGTTGATACATGATAAATATTTGGCTATGAACTAAAGGGTGCTCCAACTAGATTCTACAATATTTTATTTATAGTTATGAACTAGATAGAGGGAGGATATCATGTCACAATCCAAGTCAGCAGCCATGTAGACTTTGCCCCGGAAAGTAGCCAAGAATTTGTCTTAGTGGTTGATGAGTCTGATGTCTTTGTGTACACTATGCTTTGCTTGAAAAAGGACAAGAGTTATATCTCACCCAATCTGAGACTGTTCTTGTACAATATTATTATATTAAATCCATGGCTCTCTTATTTGTTGTTCATCTTTCTAGACCCAAGGATTTTGGGGAAAAAAACAGGTGAGAAATCATAAATATAGCATTTCTAAAGCAACAACTAGGTGTGAAACACTTAAAATGGAATTACAAGTTATTGAATAATCTTCGCTCACTGGCACCATTCAGAAGTTTCTGCTTAATTTGGCCTCCAATCAATCCTTGCAGATTTGAATTTTTGAAGTATCTACATTCCTTTGTTTGTTGATATATCTATTTCTGAGACTTGTGATTACAAGCAGATGCTCTTTGAAGAAATGTAGTTTGGAAATTTCATTCAGTATAATTTACACAAGTAGATGGCCTGCAAACGTATGGTTCAGGTTAACAAGCATAAATTTATTGTCTTATTTTGACTAAACCTTGAGCTTGTATTATATATCATCAGGGACTGTGCCTTTATCTGCTTAACCATAGGATGAAATAGTAAAACATGCAAGCATCTGGAATTCTGCAGGTTCGCCGCATGACAACTTCACCTCACAGGGCAGAGATATTATCTTCTTCACTGGAAGCTTTTAAGAAGATTCAACTGGAAAGAGCTGCTAAAGATACAACTAAAGATGCAAAAAACTTGGGCGCTATCAGCTCAAGTCATGAAGTTGCTAGCAGCTTATCCGGAGTAGATGAAGTATCCAATGCTAGATATCTGCATGTAAAAAAAGAAAAGCAGACCATCGTCTTAAATAATAATGGGATGAATATGGATTCAAATAAGCAGAATACAGACATAAATAGGCCAGGCAAAAGACATTTTGTACAAAATGGGCGCTTGTCTCCACATAGCTTGCCTGCTTCTGCATCTGGCAAGTGTAAGAGAGAACCTTTGGGACCTGTTACTGAAATTCAAAAGCAGGCACTTAAGAAGGATAAAGAACTAGCTGAAAATAGGATGGAGAAACATATAAAGGCTGTAGATATTGTTAAAAAGCAGAGTTCTTATCTTGACAAAGAGAAAGACAAGCAGAAATTCAAAACAGCTCATTGGAAGGTGATGGATGCTTGGAAAGAAAAGCGAAACTGGGAGGATATTCTCAAATCTCCAATTCACAGTTCTTCCAGAGTCTCATATTCACCAGGTATGGGCAGAAAAGTTGTGGATCGTGCTCGAGTGTTGCATGATAAACTAATGTCTCCCGATAAAAAGAAAAAGAGTGCCATGGATTTAAGAAGAGAAGCAGAAGAAAAGCATGCAAGAGCAATGAGGATTAGGAATCAACTAGAAAGCGAACGAGTGCAGAAGCTGCAGCGCACTTCAGAGAAGTTAAACCGTGTGAGTGAGTGGCAAGCTGTTCGTAGCTCTAAAATGAGAGAAGTTATGTTTGCACGCCATCAGCGTAGTGAATATCTCCATGAGGCATACCTGGCTAAGGTTGTAAAGAAAGCTGGTGATGAAAGCAGCAAGGTTAATGAGGTTCGCTTTATTACTTCATTAAATGAACAGAATAAAAAGCTGATGCTGCACCAGAAGCTTCATGACTCAGAAATGAGGAGAGCTGAAAAACTACAGGTAATCAGAACAAAACAAAAGGAGGACATAGCGAGAGAAGAAGCTGTGCTGGAACGTCGGAAGCTCCTTGAAGCTGAAAAGTTGCAGCGGCTTGCTGAGACACAGCGGAAGAAGGAAGAAGCTCAAGTTAGAAGAGAAGAGGAACGCAAGGCATCAAGTGCAGCAAGGGAGGCCAAGGCTGTGGAACAACTTCGGAGAAAGGAAATCAGAGCGAGAGCTCGACAAGAAGAGGCAGAACTCCTAGCTCAGAAGCTGGCTGAAAGACTCCGTGAAAGTGAACAGCGTCGAAAATATTACCTGGAGCAAATACGAGAGAAAGCTTCAATGGATTTTCGGGACCAGTCTTCCCCTCTACATCGCCGTTTTAACAAAGAAGGTCAAAGTAGATCACTCGGAACCAGTACTGAAGACAATCCAGTGTCAGCCAATTCAGAATCTGCTGAAAAGTTAGTCAATGTCACTCACCAGCATTCTTTGAAACGAAGAATTAAGAAAGTACGCCAGAGACTTATGGCGCTTAAGCATGACTTTGTTGAGCCTCCTGTTGGCAGTGAAAATGGAGGAATAGGGAATAGAGCTTCCTTGGTTGCTGCTAGAGCGAAAATTGGAAAGTGGGTTCAGGACCTTCAAAAGCTTCGCCAGGCCCGAAAGGAAGGGGCTGCAAGCATAGGATTAGTTATTGTTGACATGATAAAGGTATGCTTCTATATATTATGTATATATAATTCATCATCTGATTTCTCGAGTTCCATATGCATGCATACTCAGACAACATATCGCATGGCCAACTGCATAATTTTCTCAGCTACTAAAAGCATTTTCAGCTATATTGATGATCCAGGATAACATTTTCAGCTACTAAAAAAAATGCTTTTTTATGTTGTATATATTTTTTCAGGCTCATGCTGTTTCTTTTTATTTTCCATGTCAAACAGTTTATTGAGGGAAAGGATGTGGAGCTACATGCATCCCGTCAGTCTGGTTTGCTTGACTTCATATCCTCTGCCTTACCGGCTTCCCATACTTCGAAGCCAGAAGCATGTCAAGTGACAGTACACCTTTTACGACTACTGCGAGTATTACTGTCACTTCCAGCAAATCGGAGTTATTTTCTTGCACAAAATCTTTTGCCTCCCATAATCCCTATGCTGTCTGCATCACTTGAGAATTATATCAAGGCTGCAGCATCTTCCAGTTCTGGAAGCACAAACCTTTCATCAAGCAAAACATCCAATGAGAATTTGGAATCAGTTGCCGAAATCATGGATGGCTTCTTATGGACTATAACCATGATTGTGGGCCATATACAATCTGATGATCGCCAACTCCATATGCAGGATGGTTTGGTGGAGCTGATAGTAGCTTATCAAGTTATTCATCGTCTTCGTGATCTGTTTGCCCTCTATGATAGGCCGCAGATAGAAGGATCTCCATTTCCATCATCAATTCTCTTAAGTTTGACCCTTTTGTCAGTCATAACATCAAGACCTGGTACATTTTCTGCCATTGATTGGGAATCTTGTGTATCTAAAGCATCAGCAATTTGTGAAGTTCAAAGGTTAAAAGATTCTGAAAATGTGGCTACAGGAGAGTCCTCTAGCTCCATTAATAATTCTGGAGATAGCACATCACATCCAACTTCGCACCAGTGTACTGAACCACATATGAGCAGATTTGTTCACTTATCTGAGGAACAGAATATACTTTCAAGCGGAAAAACTCTAGCAGATGCACCAGAAATTATAGATATGGAATCTGGAAGAGAGACCTCTGATACTTCATGTCGTCCAGAAATTGTTCAATCTGTGTTGCAGATACAAGAGAAAGCTTCATCAGGTGAATCCCAAAACCCTGTAGTAGAAGAGCATGCAAAATCATTGCCAGTGAAGAAGGATGAAAAGAACTCCGGTTGTTCTGTGGAGAGAAAAGGAGCTGATGAGCACACCACTCGTAATAATTCTGGTAACAGGAAGGCGGTCAGCTTGAAGCAGCCCCTAGCATTTCTTATCTCTGCTATTTCTGATACTGGCCTTGTTAGTCTTCCATCACTCTTAACAGCTGTGCTACTTCAGGCGAACAACAAATTGTCATCTGAGCAGGTACTTTTTTACATAAACAAGAGAACATGCAAATCATCTTCCATTGCATTTCAACAGTTTTTTTCATATAAAGTTGGCTTTTGTGACCCAGCCAAGAACATCTTTTTTATATAAATACTATTAATTTTTTCTTACCATTCTTCTTTCTGAAGCAACAAGTAGCATGTCTGGGAGTACAATTGTTTTGTTGTTCAGATCCTTATTTGTTCATACATTCAGTTTCAATGCAGTGTTTTTATTCTCTGTCTCTAGTTGTTGGAGGTGTCAGTTTAACTAGTAAAAATTTTGACTACTGATAGCAATGTCTGAAGTGCAAATCTCACCTTCACCTTAAATTACTTACAAAAAAAATTTTATCTAACTAATAAGTAAAAGAAAAATATTCACGTAGGTTCTTGGAATGGCCTAAGTGTCAAATTCCCAAGGTCCTTTAGAAAAGAGGACTGCCTTGTGAACTTAGACTTCATGTTTTGATAAACTTTAATTGCAGGGATCGTATGTCCTTCCATCGAATTTTGAAGAAGTAGCTACTGGTGTCTTGAAAGTTTTGAATAATTTGGCAAGCTTGGATATTGCTACTCTGCAAAGTATGCTGGTAATATTTTTTTTTTAGTCAGTGCCAATTCTTGGTGTTTTACAATGCCCAATTCATGAGTTTTAGTTATCCTTTTCACATAAAAGGCATGATGTGTTGCATGTTTTAGTATCATGTCCTCATATTTGCAATTTGTTTCAGGCTAGATCAGATCTAAAAGTCGAATTTTTCCACTTGATGAGTTTTCTTCTGACCCATTGCACGAACAAGTGGAAAGCAGCTTATGATCAGGTAAGTGCAAGGTTCTATTATATTACAAGACGGATGATGTGCCTAATGATTGGCTAATTTGTTTTAGTGCAATTTTATATAAAATCTTTTAATCTTAGATGCAGATTACAAGGTTCTATTTCGATTCAGCGTCACGGTATCTGATATATAGGTGTACATGCAATTTTTACCAAATTACCAAGAAATGTATTGCCTATTCTCTGTGTTTCACCCAGATGTTATATAAAAAAGGCTAAGAATGCAAAATTCTCCAAACCAGTATGAAGCAACCTTTCTAAGCCTTCAGCTATTAGACTTGCAAGTCAATCAATCACATTATCGTACATGAGAAAAACTTATGATTCTTTTTCTGTCAATCAGTCATGAAATTTTAGTTCTAATTTACTGTTCCCTTTATGTTTTCATCAATTCCTCCCTTTCCCTTGAGTTTCCTTACAACTTCAGGGTGTTAGTTTAAGGGAAAATATAGCGACAAGTACCAAGTCTGAACTGAAAGGTAATCCAAAGGGCTGGGGACAATGACCTGAATTTGGCAATTGTATGCCAGCCAAGTTGTATGTCAACAAAATTTAATTTTTTTTTCTTGTAAGACTGCTTTTTAGTGTTGCATTTGGTCAAAGAAGGCAAGCCTACTTGTCAACTGTTAGTCAGTTAAGGTTGCAACTATGCTACCTGGAAATCATGTATTTGTTGTCATGGAGCAGCAGTAAGATTATGCTATTGTCATGAGAACTTGATGTGTGCAACTCACAGAAATGTCCCCTAGTGATGTGGGTGCAAGACAAAAAGAAAAACAAAAGTGTGGGTGTAAGGCTACAAGAATATGACCTTTCCAGACCCTGCAACAGTGGAAATATCACATATGTTTAGTTTGAGTGTCTAGTCCTATCTGCAGATGCTATGGTTGAGTTCACTTTGCTTGAGACTAATGTTCGCCTTACTAGCCTGTATAGATGTACCAATCGGCCATCGGTATGATACGTATCAATATGTACTGATATATCGACACATGGTACGATGGGGCATACCAACAGATTGATATGTATCACCCATACCAGTCCCTTATCAGACTGGTACATATCGCCTGTACTAGGCGGTATGTCGTGATATGACAAGCCTTGCTTGAGACTACAGGTTTAGCTGCCTTTTGTTAACCACATTCAAACAAAGTATTTCAGATCTCAAGCTGGTGTAACTTTGGTTGGGTGTGGCTTAATGGTTGATTATTACATCTTTCTTTTTTATTTGTTAGTGCATTAAGGAACTTTCAAGGAGACAAGGACTAAAGTGAAACTTCTATAAAGATGCTTTTTGGTTCCTAATTGGCACCTAAATCTTTCTCCTATAACATATTTTGCTTATTTATGCATCTATCCATAAAAATTTCACTTTGCAGATCTTCTTTTGTCCAGATATATATATATATATATATATATATATATATATATATATATATATATATATATTTACATTTTTGTTGACAAACTTTTTGTGTCTTCGAGCACCATCTCCTTATCCATTGGTACAAGTTCCCCATGCATACATATAAAATTGGTAATAAGATTGGTAAAGTCCATTTCTTGTGCATGGAATGTTACAACTGTAGAAGCTGAACCTAAATGGTCCTTGCAAATTTGATGCCATAATTTCCGTTTATAATGCAGGTGTTCCCTAAGGATCATTGAATCTGATTTTATAGTGGCTTGTTCTTCCCTCTGTAGGCATCACATTTTACTGATCATTGCATGGCATTGTCTTTTTAATGTTCTGATAGTACAGGTGTTGTACATACTTTCTGAAGGTCTATCATTATGATTTCTTGTGCTTTTTAGGTCGGTCTACTTCTCCTGGAGTCGTTGTTGCTTCTTGGTTATTTTTCTTTATTTCATTCTGGGAATCAAGCAGTTCTCAGATGGGGAAAGAGTCCAACCATACTGCAGAAGGTAAATATCCTTTTAGAATCAGTGGATTTTTAAATATTTTGTTGCCCTCAAGCAAATCTAATTTGCTTATCAAATCAAAATAGGTCTGCGATCTACCCTTCGTTTTCTTCAGTGACGCAGATTTGACACCTATTTTGGCCGGCACACTCGTGGCTGGTTGTTATGGATGTGAACAGAACAGAGGTATTGTTCTGCAAGAACTTAGCACCGACATGTTGCTTTCTTTGCTCAAGTCCTGCAAGCAGGCATTGCTGTCAGTCCAACCTGATTCAGTGCAGTCAAATATTTCCGTAAGTGATGCAACTGATAGTAATCAGATGGTTTCAGATGCTAGAAAGCCCCAGAGTGAGATTCATGCAAGATCCATCCGTAAAAACACTCGAGCTTCATTGGGAAAAGGTCTTTCAAGCAGCACCACCAAAATTAACAAAACAAAAATCCAAAGGGATTGTAGAGGAACTAGGACTTTTGATGAGTGGGTATTCAAACACAACCTATCAAGCACAGAAGCTTCTTCATGTTTCATGTTGCATTGGAGATTTCCAATCTCTTTCCTGGATAAAGCCGAAGAATTCTTTTTAGCCGAGGCCCTAAGCCAGCAGGTGTAGCATGGCTAGTCAGAGTCAACATCCCACAACTTTAAAAAAGGCCCTGCCATAGCAAGTTTGTAATTGGGATGCTCCTTTAAGATTCAAGGAACACTTCTCACTTCAATTCTCACTTCTGCAACTGCCAGAAGTTCTTGTCAGGACTTCAAGCTGCTGCATCTGCACAGGAGAGGACACAGCATCGGCTGCCAAACAAGGTGTATTGGTACAGATCTATGTTTGCCTGATAGCTCAGTGCTTATCGCGTCACCAAGGAATCGATTTTTTCAAGTCTTTGGATGATGGCTACAGCAGGTTAGCATTAATGCTCTAGATGACTCAACAGGAATCCAGATAGCAGATACTGAACCATTATCGCTGACTGTTGGATTTTTAAGAGGTAGCTGATCGGTTATGTGGGAAAAGGAAATATTTTTTTTTTCTTAGACATTGACCAATAGAGGTGCTTTACCAAAGATGCTCCTAAAGAATGTCATGAACCCAATCAGATGGGTGTTCAAGATGACTGTATAATAGCCAACCCAGAATAAGCCTACTTTTGATGTATGAATTGATACATCATGTTTATAACTATAGCTCATGTTTCTTTCAGAATTGCCCTGTTGTTGCCTATGGCTAATGCTTCTTTCAGAGTTGCTGTGTCCATAATAAACAGCAGAGGAAAGCAAGCATGGAGACAACATGCATGCTGATCGCTGCAGTATTTTTTTTTCCTTTTTTTTTTTACAGCATGGGCTCATTTGTTTAGATTCTCACAAAGATTATGAAGCATTATGAACAAAAGAGGAACTAGCATTCAGAAAAGAAAAAAATGCATAAAATTTAGAGCATGAAGAAAAATCAACATGGAACCTTGATAATCAGAAACAATTGTAGTCACATTATACTGGGGAAGAACTGAGGTTGTCATATGGAATTACAGTTGTTCTTCAGCTAATTCACTGTGGGAACTAGGAAATAGGAAACTGATTTGATTTGTTACACAGATGGAAAGAGTAAAACACTGTAAAAGTAGTAATTGATTTCAGTGAAACCTTTGCCCTCTGCAGTAACCCAACACACAACCAACCAACAAGGCTCCTGAGAACCTTTGTAGTGCAAGAGAAAAGCCATCTTTCCCAGCATCAGCTAATGCATTCAATGAACATTTTGGATCCAAGTTGGCTAAGGATAACACTCGTGATTTAGAATACATCCATGCAATGCACAAGCTACCAAAATCGAAAGCCAAATTTATCTTGAAGTCACAAGAACAAGCTACAAACATTATGCAGATTAGCACACTTATTCAAGTAAAACTGAAGCCAAATGCATGTGTATTTTGAGTATGAAAATGATGACATTGGTTATGAATTAGAATAAAGAATTATAAAACTCTTACCATGAAAGAAAGACATCATAACAAGAGTCACTTCTGAAACCAACAAAACCTTCTCAAACCAAGCCATTTTTCTGAACATAAAGTTATACATAACAAATATTCTTGAATCTTTAACGAAAAAAATAATATGTATTTATATATGCACACCATTTAATGTTGGAAAATAAACACATGGGACCATGAGCATTCAATTTAGCTATCACCAAAAAAGAAAAGTCACCAAACTGATCATTTAGCCTGTAGATGCTGGCTTGCTATCTTGAAGAGATATCACAGTTTCAAAGGCGCCAACCAATGCCTTCACCTTGCTCCTCCTGCTCTCCACTAGTTTACTTGCTGTTTCTTCGATAACATTGTTGAACAGGCCTTGGATGTCTTTCTTCTCCTGCATATCTTGATGTTTCAGCACAACACCTTTAGATTCTGGACTAGGATCACTAGCCGGTGCACCCATCTCACTCCTTTGGAAGTTCATCCGTTCGACTTGATCATCATCGGCACTCTTAGACATCAGTCTTCCTCTTCTGAATCTCAGCCTTCTTAGACCTTTGCATTCAGGTTGAAGTTCAATTATCTTACCTCTCCTAAACTTCAATTTGTGAGGTGTGGAAAGTTTATCTTCAGGGTGGACAACTGCATCTATTCTGGACCTTTTCTTCTGTTCATCTTTTGAAGGTTCATTTACTGACTCTGATTCAGATGATTCAGAAGAGGCAGACTCTATTTCCTCAATCTCTTCATCATCTGATCCTAACTGGGACGACTGGTCATCATTGGGATTCAGCTCAAGGGAATCAAGATCGATGTTCTCTGGTTTCAGCAGCTTCTGCTCAAGAAAATCCTTATCAGCATTCCCTTGTTCAAGCAAATTCTGAACGTCAAGAGAATCAAGATCAATGTCTTCTAGTTTCAGCAATTCCTGCTCTAGAGATTCCGTGTCAGCACTCTTTGGTCCATGCAATTCCTGGTCAGTGGGTTTCACCAAGGACTCAAAACTATTTTCTTCTGGCTTCAGCAAATTTTCCCCTAGAGAATTCTTATCAGCATTTTCTGGTTCTAGCCATTTTTTATCATCAGGTATCAATTCCAGAGAATCAAAATCAATGTTTTCTGGGCTCAGTGATCTCTGCTCTAGGAAGTCCATATCGGCATTCTTTACTTGGAACTTTTTTTTATCATCAGGTGTCAATTCAAGAGAGGCAGCACTAATGTTTTCTGGTTCCAGCAATTTGTGCCCCAGGACGCCCGTGTCTGAATTATCTGGCTTCAGTGATGTCTCCTGAAGGGAATCCGAATCAATATTTTCATATTTCGACAGTGGCTGTTCTGAGAGATCATAAACAATGTTCTCCACTTTCGATGAGTTCTGCTCTGCAGAATCCATATCGACTTTCTCTGGTATCTTATCAATGACATACAATGTTTTCTTCTCGTTGTTCCGAGTAACAAGCTCAGCGTTGTTCCCAACTTTCTGGTTCTTCATGGAGACTGTTTGTTTTCCATTCTTGTATTTACTTTGCTTTGAACTCGAGGTTTCATCCCCAATATGCTTGAGCGATGGAGAAGCTGTGGATGGTTTCAGCATCTTCCTTTCTAATGTTCTTGTTATTTCCCTACTCTTATCATATAATACCTTCTTGTTTCTTTGCTCAATTGGTCCATGTGAAGCAGTAAGTGATGATCCTGATCCTTCGGTTGGACTTTTAATGGCTTTCTTAGATGTCACATGTTTAGCAGCAACTTGAGGAACCTCATTATGCACTAGTGGCTTTTGTCCAATTTTTTGAGGTCCATCATGTGTGATGTCGCTCTTCGAAGACGTTTGCCTAATCAATCTCGGTTTAGTAGAGGAAGTGGCTTCTTGGAGAGGTGAAGAAATATTCCTCTTGATGGTACCTGACTTCTGACTTCCATCAATTCCATTGCCAAGAGAAGTACCCATCTGCTCACCAACTTTAAGCTTGGAAGAGAATGATTGAGACTTGTTTAAAGTCTTCGATTTGGTAACTTGTTTCATCTTCTGATCCCCTATGTTCAAACTTTTCACCTGAGTTTCTTCGTTCTGTGATGTTGGAGGACCTTCCGAATCACTAGATATACTGCTTTTCTGGATTGATGATGAAATTTGCAACTTCATGTCAGCATGTTGCTCTGGCAATCTGACCTCCTTGATCTTTGATGCAGCTTTCTGCTTCCTGACTGCTGTAGTATCAGGAAATTCAGCTCTTTGATGAGATGAGGACTTCGGCTTAGTCGTAAGCCTCTTCCATCTCTCTTCTACATTTACACTGTTCACTTGCTGCCAGTCTTCTCTAAGAGTCAACTTCTTTCCTGATTTGAGAAGAAATGGATGCTTAGCCTCAGCATCGAAATCATGTTTCCGTCCGTATTTACAAAAATCATGGCAGGAGCTTGTAGAAGCCCTTAGATAATTAGGAAGAGGTTTTTCGCTGCTTGTTGAAGAAACTAATGAACCTCCAGTACTGAATTCACCAGTTGAGGATATCCTCCTATCTCCTTTTGTATCAGGGTTTACGGAGATTGCACGCGTATCCATCACCTTTTTGGTCATTGGACCTTGAGATAGCTAGAAGCTTGTTTTTGTTACGCAAATCTGCAACATAAAGAAAAAGAAGGGAAAAGGGAAATAAGAGTTAAAGAAGTTAACATTGATACCAGAAAGAAAAGGCCAAATTTAAACAAGTTCAATTGTGTAAGTTCTACTAGTTATCTTTCCTGTAAGAAATATCATTTCCATGCCTGTGCAGCATAGCTGAATGTTTCAACAAGGTTTTAATACTGCGATATTGGCATTCATTGTACCAATGGTAGCTGATAAATGGCTGTCAAGACTTCCAGTGATGTGTAATCAATCTCAGAGTAACTCAAGAAAAGTGATGAACAATTAAGAAAACAAGAGAACACCTCAGGCTAAAAGAACAGAGTTGAGGGTGGAAGTTTCCTATAGACCACATCACCAAGGGCAATCTGATTGGATTAGGACTGATCTAATCCTGCTTCTGGTTATCATCTGCTATTTGTTTGTTTCAGATTGACGAAAAAAAAGAGACAAATAAAGAGAAAAGAAATCAAGGAAAAGGGTGAGACAGGAAAAAGGTATATCTAAGTTTTTCAGTTATTCATTTGTTCATCTCTGCTAGTATAAGACGTAATCAGCGATGTATTTGAACAATTTCAGCTATTCGATATAAAGCAAAATAACATATAATACTAAGGAAAAACGATCTGATAACAATAAGCCATGGCCTCCAATTATTTAATCCTTTCTACTACAAAGCTTTGCTAAATGCAATATCATTAGTCAACTCGAGATCATCAGATCTCTTTTGATTGGTTGACACAGTTTTCTTTGGTCTTTCTCTACTTCAGCCTCAGGAAAGTAAGAAACATGGTTAATCTGCTTCAGGAGAAGAATTTATCTTCAGCAAGAAGAAACGTAGCAAATATGCAAATCAAGTTGCTATAACCTGAAACAAACAACTATAAAGATAAATCTTTGCACAACCACAGAATTATAAATTGTTTCTGAGAAAAAAACAAGCATCATCTGAAGAAAACACAGTATGACAAGAGCAAGAGAAAAAAGCCACCCAAGAAACTTGAAGCCTTCTATTAGTTGTCTTCATCGGCTTCTAGTTTCCAAGAAACCCATCGAGGCGTTACTCACAGATATTTCCGTCATAAGAAAGCCAATATAGAAGGCATGCTAACGTCAACGAATTGTAGCTACGAACTCGTTTAAGCCAAAAAGAGAACCTATACCAGACTTCATTTGGTGGTTCTACGCCTATCTAAATTGGTGAAGAAACACTAACCCCAAATCAAGCGAATAGAAACCGTCCGAGAGACAGAAGCCAAAGAATCCATCAAGATCGCGTCTTTTGATGGTTCTTATTACGAAAAGTTTCGATATAGTCTATGAACTAAATCAATAAACAAAAAAGTTTGGTCATTTCCTTGGAACAAATCCGAAGAGACCACCGATCAAGATCACATCTTTAAGCAAAGGAAGAAGCAATCATCACGAAATCCACCAAAAGAGATCCATCTTTCGACCCATCAAACAGTAAACCGGCAACCATACCAAACGAGACCGCGAGAAAGGATGGAAAACGAATCATGACTCGGAACAGAAGTCGCACCTTTCGGTGAGTCCCGTCACCAGAAAGCGAAGAAGCAGGCGCCGATTCGAGGACAACCAGTCTCCCTCCCATCAAGGAAGAAGACCTTTGGAGATCGTGCAAGCAAGCTAGCAAAGCAACGCTTATTACTTTAAGATGGCGTGTGTTACCTGTCACAGAGCATCACCAAACCAGGTCCCGATCACCTCACGAGGGAAACGGTCGGATACGACTGTTAGAAATACTTGGGATCGAAAGCGTCAAATAATTCTTCGTGCGCTCCCCAAGCCACTGCACTATTCGACTCCCCTGTTTCTTGGGAGAGAGAGAGAGAGAGAGAGAGAGAGGAGGAGAG